AAGAGGGTGTGACCTTCGATGGATGGAGGGGGGAGGGTATATCAGACGTCCCTTATTACGATTCTTCCCACACCGGCGAGAGCGTTCCTGTTGCAACAATGTGAACTCCCCGCCCTGCCGCATCGCAAGCAACCTCAGGGTCTCCACCGGGTTGACACCGTGACCCGGCTTCGGCCAAATCGCCGTCGGGGCTAAGCCTTCCCAGCAGCAAATCCAAGTTCAGGGTCCGTAAGGTGTGCCGCCTTTTTTGGGGGAGGGGCAGAGAGAGAGACACACACAGAGGAAGAGAGAGGTCGCCGACTCGCGGCTGGCTTTTCCGACTTTCCCAGTGCCTGTCTGTCGATCAATTATCACGAGGGAAAGAGAGAGAGGGGGGGGGAGAGACGGAGGGTTTCGTTTGGCGGGCGGGCATTTGGGGCAGCGAACGGCCTCTCCCTCTCCACACCGGGAGGAGGGAAAGCGCCGCTTGGGGCGTATCCCCTCTATCTATCTCCATCACTCGTATGACGAATTGTTGGCCGCCGGATCGCATTTCTTGGTTGTGACGCCGCCGGGGCGACTCGCAACTGGGGCTGGCTGGCTGGGCCGGGGAGGGTATTTCGTTTCAAGCCCACACCTGCGCTCCGCTCTCGAAGTCATGTTGGCGGTGGGTGCTTGCTGCGCGTGCTTCGTGCTTTTGGCTGCCGCACCTAGCATGACTCTCTGCTGCTGCTGCTTCTCTTTTGCATGTGGTTCCGGAGAGAGAGCGCGCGCGGCGCCCACTCACACACACACAATCTGTCTGTCTTGCATGCGAGCAATCCGGGTAACGGCGCAAGGACCCTAAACCGACATGTTTAATCGATTTTAATTATGGGTCGAATCCCTTCTGACCAATCGAATTGCACCGCTTCGCAGCGCACAACCTCATATCCCACAACATCGTGGGTCTCATTCAACAACGGCCTCATGGCGCAACGGTAGCGCGTTCGACTCCAGATTCTGTCCTGCGACCGTTTCTGAGCTGATATCGAAAGGTTATCCGTTCAAATCGGGTTGGGGTCATCCAGAAGAGCGTCTAATCGCTCAAATCATTCTTTTTGGCCTCGTCGTTGAGTTGTGCGAAGTTGGTGGTTTGTGGTGGTGATGTTCGCGTGTGTGGCAAGGGCGGACGCGGGACTCTTTCTGACTTTATGATAGTGTCTTACCGTTGATTCCTGGTTATGAAAAAAGACGGAAAGAAGAGGAGAGCGCGTGCTGGTTGCTGGAGAGTTGCTCAAAGAGGACGGCTTTTTTGGTGAACATGATGATGCTGATATTCAGCAGCAAGCGACGTCTTCGTGTCTTCAAGCCTATACTAACTCTATTCCGCCTAGCCGTTTTCCTTTTCATGAGTTGGATTCAATTGTTTCGAATGGCGCTGATGACCTATCAATGTCTGCTTATGCATCCTTCCCAAGAGATGCCACAACAACATAATTCGTCCTTGATTGTCTACGCATCAAGCAGAACCGCCATGTCCTAACTCATTCATCACAAAGAACGACATGATTTTGCCTACGTCGCGCATTATTTATTGTATGCCTGACCAAAACATTGTTTGATCCGGGGCTGAAACTTTCACCACCAAACCGAGTTGGCATCAAGGATTTCAGAAACAGCGAACCCAGGATACCCTCCAGCTCAAGCACTCAGTCACAACTGTCCAATCCACTAGGTAGATAGTGAAAGTTTCTCTGAAGACTCTTTCTGGCCTAATGACCTGTGGCAAGTTTTCTGAAGGCATCACATGGCAAAGCTGATGGGCAAGGACGGAGTGAGAGACCAAGACGCTATTCCATTCTGTCTAACACTAGACAAGAGTATACTCGCTACTGATTCATCGCTCTTGCTTCCCTGCTTCCCTGCTTCCCTGCAGAGACATGCACTTCCCAACAAAAGTCCTGGACAACTTCATCGCTATCGGCGACAGCTCATGACAGTCATGCAAATCCAGGCAGTAGCTACGAGACCAAAGATCACATTCCCAGTGGTCCCAAGGGGCCCAGGTCCAGGTTCTTCGTTGGTCTGAGGGCCCCGACGTGCAGCACCGTCGTCAGTCGTCGTCGTCGTCCGAGGGATCCGATATCCAGCACTGTCGTCCGTTGGCGCCGTCCTTTCCGTCGTCCTCTCCGTCGTCCTCTCCGTCGTCTGTTGGTAATTCGTGCCCACTTGACTCGAGCGTGGAGACGGCGTCATTGGCTGATATGAGGGCCTTCGTGACGACTGCTGCTGGGTATCAGGTGGCCCTGCGGGCGCCTCTGATGCTCGCAGACGTTGCTGTTCAACTGGCATGCACGCAGGCGGGGGCGGCAAGACGTCGTGAGGGATGGCACTCGGGGGCAGCTGCCCCTGGTGTGTAGGGGGGAAGATCCCGTTGTTCCGTGCGTTGCTTGCGTCCTCCCATCGTCTCAATGTGTTCTCCATGTTGCGCACAGATGCCCCTATATACGCTACCTCACCAGCCATAGCGGTAACGTTATGCTGCATGATCTTCTCAAAGTTGGTCAGATGCTCTTCTTCGTTTGAGTACCGAAGCCGCATTGAGCTTGAGTCGTGAGCTGGGCCATAGTAGAATCCGTCGCGGTCTTCGTCGTCGTAGACTGCGTATTCTGCACTTGACCTAGTACGAGCAGGGGACTTGTCCGGGGACGGATAGCGGTCTAGAGCCCACGTATTCTGCGGTACAGAAGCTAAGCCAACCCATGGAGAGGAAGGCACAGGTTGTTTGACTGTCTCTTGGCCTTGGAAATAAGCTCTTTTCTTGCTCTTGCGGTCGGGAGAAGCTGGGGCATCCCATGGAGAGGAAGGCGCAGGTTGTTTGGCTGTGTTTTGGTCTTTGAAGTAGACTCTTTTCTTGCCTTCGAGGTCGAGCTGGACTCTTTGCTCGTCCTTGAGGTTGGAGTGGACTCTTTTGTGGCCTTTGAGGCCTTTGAGGCCTTTAAGGTAGGGCTGAGAAACGACGGGCTGACCGAAGTGCTCCCGGATGTACTGACGGGTGAACTGGGGGTTTTCGTCGTCGGGCACGTCTTGATGAGGTGTGTCTGGACGGGGCGCAGCTGGACGAGGCTTATCTGGGGGAGGCACATCTGGACGAGAAGTTTCCGGACGGGCCTTGTCCTTGCGCATGCCCTTATCGTTGTTGTCATCTTCGTTGTCGTACTTTTTCTTGCCCTTGTGGTCGTCCTCGCACCTGCCCTTGCTCTTGCCATTGCTCTTGCCATTGCTCTTGCCGTTGCTCTTGCCGTTGCTCTTGCCCTTGCCGTCCTGCTCTATGCCCACTACCGTCGAGGCCTCACTGGCGTCAGACGAGTCGTCAGAGGAAAGGTAAGTTGTGTTCGCGGGGTCTTTCAGGCTGTTGAGGTCAACAAGCTCCAGGCGAGCGGGCTTATTATGGTCGCAGGCAATGTAGCCTTGGAATTTCTGGTTGTTCTGGCCGCTGCCCGCCGGTAACAGTTCCACGAAGAGGGCATGAGACTGGGAGTAAGACGTATTCGCAGTTGTACTTTGAGCCTGGGGTAGAGACTCATTTGCAGCTGTACTTTGAGGGGTTGCAGACGTGTTTGCAGCTGTACTTTGAGAAGGGCTATACAAGGTTGCATATTGAGGCCGAGGCGGCGGCGGAGGCGCAGGGTATGTGGCATACTGTGGGCTTTGCACACCATTTGAAGTACTTTCGGTGGGTGAAGACACGCGAATGCTCCGGGGCATCGGGGGTGTGGGAGAGCCGCCGTTCACTAATGGTCTTGACGAGCGAGGGCCTTGTGCCGCAGCCTGTTGATCTTGAGTAGGGGGCTGCTGGACGGCATCCTCTCGAGCGGGCGGCTGGGCGACAGTAGAGCTTGAGTGCTCGTCATCGACGGTTGAATGAGGCATCTAATGGATGTTACGATGTGATGAATGGGATGTATTTAGAATGTCTTGGGGATTTTGTAGTCGAAGAAAACGTGTTCCAATGTTGGGCTGACGTTGATGTTTGGAAAACGAGGAGCGAGGGTCAGAGACAAGGACGGCATATTACAAGGACGACAGAGGACGACAGAGGACGACAACAGCAAAGGCAAGAACAACGAGAACAGGAACAACAGGGGCAGTAGAGACAATATGACGCGGAGAAGGTACGTTAGCTAAAAAGACAACAATCATGAAGGAGTGGCCCGGAAAGAAGATCGTCACATCTGACTTTCTGGAGTGATGCGAGGCGACAAGAAGGGCAGTGGCAAGGACAATAGGTGTATGAGTGACCACAACCGACAGCAGTAGGGATAGGAGCAACATGAGTTATCAGGCATGACAATGTGATGGCAAGACCGTCCCTCATCTATGCCACAGAATGCACGTTTGCTAAGAAGATGAATTTCCCGACTCTTTCCCCTACACAAGTCTCTTCATCAAACACTTCTCTTGCCTTTTACACCATCTTCTTCCTCCCTCCTGATGTCTTCCTCACCCCTTCCCCTTTCCACCCGACCGCGGTCCCTCCTGACCAAGAACCAGATCGCCCCAGTCAGAAAGAACTGAACAACCATCGTGCCCACGACGCTCCTGAACCCGCGGCGGAAGTACGGCGCCTCGACGGCAGGAAATTGCAGCAGCTGCGCCCAGGCGACAATGGCCTGCCCGATTGCGTTCATCGACGCCGTGACGATGGCCCTCTCCTCCGCGTCACCTGCCATCGTCACCGTCGCCCACGCCATCGTCAGCGAGGGAATAGCGCCCTCGAAGCCGTTCAGCATAAAGGCCGCCAGCCGCCCGCCCTCGCCGACGTTCCACGCCACCAGCAACACCACGCCAATCAACGACGGCACCGTCGCGGCGATGGACAGCCCTGCATACCAGCCCGTGCGGTCGGCGAGCGCACCCGCGGCGAAGGCGCAGACGATGGAGATGGCCGTCGCGACCGTCGGCAGCGTGTTGATGCGCGTGACGGAGTACGTCTCGGGGAAGGCCTTGAGGTAGAGCGAGAAGGGGGACCCGCTGGGCTGGAGGTTCTCATTCATGATGGTCCACTGCGCGACGAAGAGGTACCAGTGCCAGCGGGTGAAGACCCTTTTGAAGATGTCGCGTGAGACTTTTAGTTGAGGCGGCGCCGTGAGGCCCTCGAGACGCTTCTGTGCGAGGGCGTACTGGCGTGCGGGCAGCAGCTTCGGCCGCGAGCGGGAGGGCACGTCGGGGAAGACGAAGAAGCCGATCAGAGCGATGGGGATGGTGATGACGGCGTCGACGATGAAGAGCCAGCGCCAGCCGGCGAGGCCGTGGACGTGGTGCAGGTTCGTGTAGGCGGCCGCTTGGAGGTAGCCCGCGAACATGGTTCCTAGCGGCGCCGCGATGTAGAACAGGGCGACTCTGCGGCCGATCTCTGAAGGTTTGTACCAGCTTCCGATTACGTAGATTATTCCGGTGAATGATGAGCTCTCGAACAGGCCTGTGAAGAAGCGCATGGCGTAAATTGTCTGCACGCTCTGAGCCCAGGCAAGACCGAACGTCGACAGGCCCCAGCCGATTTCCAGGACTGGCAGGACGATGTTGATGGGGTAACGGGTCAGATAGTAGCACGCCGGGATCATGGAGGTGCAGTACGAGGACCAGAAGACAATGGTCATGTAGTTGAGCTCGTTGCCGACGAGGTTGAGGTCCTCTTTCATGCCGCTGTCCCAGTGAGCTTAGGAGACTGTCAGCGGGAGCAGAGCAACATACCTAACGTAGGCATTGGTTAGAGATGACTGGTCAAGATACTTGGTGAAGAAGCAAAGACAGCCAAAAATCAGGATCAACAAATCCAGCCGCAGGACGAGGTTCTTCTCCTCGCTTGGCGTGTCGCGCGAATACCATCGGAGGGCGGTCATCAGGCGAATCCACGGGCCTTCACGAGAGGACTCCCGAGGTTCCTCGGTGATATCAGCCGGGCCATCAGCCACGGCTGGCAACTTTTCCGTCAGCGCAGCCATCGTAACAGTCGGCGTCTGAGTTGAGCTCAAGGGAATTGTCAGGCCAACTGCAAAACATCGTGGGGCATCACGTTTATATCAATCCGTGGAAATGAGGGAAAAGTTCATCAACCATATCGATAACGAAGAACGACCGACTCGCACATCGGCAAAGAAGCTCGTTTCCCCATTCGGCCAGCATCCGCAGAGATGGTTGGACGACGCGATGGCGCAATCGCTGCCCACTATGATAGCACATGGCATCTCCATCCGAGTCTCCCAATGAGACCTCATCGTTGCGTAGCATTCTGCAAAACCAAAGGGTGGGTCTGTGATAAAAGACCCTGACATTTGGAGGCTGTCCACTTAACCAGTGCTAAGCTTTTGAGGCGCCGGGAACCGGTGGGATGGGTCACGAACTCATTCAACGTAGTGCTTACTTTTGTCCTTGGATTGTTCTGTTGGCTGAGATATGTCCTACGAGAAAAGAAAGCGAGTTACAAAGCCGTCCTGACGGGAAACAGTCTCATTAGTAGTACTCATTGCCTCGCTGGAGCCCCTAAATCCAAACTTTTATATAATTCAGCCTTTCCGGGTCAATCTTTCAGTTACTGCCCCCATCCCCCCCATTAAGCGCCGCAAGCTCATCTCCGCCTCTTATCCTTTACCTTCTTATCTGTCTGCTGCGTCGTGCCGACCAAAAACCCCTTCTTCACTCCCACGGCCGTCCTGCCGCGCGCCAGCATCGCCTTCTTAGTGCCGATCGAGTACTTGTGCGACTTGGGCGCGAGCCTCTGGTCCTCCTGCTTCACCACCCGGAACACGGTCGACCCCACGACCTCGTCCTTGGGGCCGCGGCCCTCGCGCGAAATCTGCGCCTTGGCGGTGTTGAGCTTGCGCGCCTTGCGGGGCTGACCCTCGGCGCCGTCCTCGCCGTCGTCTTCCGAGTCGGACTCGAGGAACTCGGCCGGGAGCTCGGCCGGCAGATCGAGTCTCCGGCGGGTGGGCTTCTTGGACGCCGCCGCGTCAGCCTGCTCTGCGTCCGCCAAGTCCTCAGCCTCCGCTGCGGCGGTCTCCATCTCCTCGTCCTCGTCATTTACCTTCTCCGCGGGCGCGGGCTTCTGCGCCTTGCGAACTGCAGCCTGTTCCTGGAGGCGGGTGTTGCGCTCCTGGCGCTTGCGCTTTTGAGCAGCGGCTTGTCTGCGAGATGGTTAGTTTTTAAAAAGCAATCAGGTCACTTGTGTAACGTACTCTGCAATGGCCTTGTTGGCAGCTTGAGCGGACTTCTTCGCCTGCACCGCAGCTTTGCTCGTCGAAACAGCCTCAGGGGCCTCGTCCGAGTCTGAATCGTCCGCCGCCTCAGCAGCCGGTGCCTCCTCCTTCTCCTCCGCCTCCTGCTCCTCCTCGTTCACGGGCTCTGGCGACTCCTCCGAGTCATTGATGACCTTGTCCTCCACCTCCGGCGCCGGCTGCTCGGGCCCTGTGATGATGGACGGCTCCTGGATGTCGGCGCTCTTGGACGGGGTCGAGTCCGCTTTCAGCTCCACCACGAGAGACGACTTCTTTTTTGAAGACGGCCGGGCGCTCTCATCCTTCTTGGCGGAGCCCTTCTTGGGGGTGGCTCTGGGTGTGGACTTGGGTGTGCCCTTGGGGGTTGCGTCCTTTGAGCGGACGGGCAGCTTCTTTGGTGTGGTGATTTCTCCGGGCGACTCGACTCCCGAGCGCAGCATGTTCCGGGTGGTGACCATTGTGAATGAGAGACCGGCAGGTCGTATGGCTTCCCGCGGGGGGGAGGTGGCGAACCGTGTTTCAATGCGATCGCGGGGCGGGATTATGTATTCCAGCAGTTTTTTGCAGGGTTTCCGTATGAGTACCCCACGCGAAACACCTCAGATCCCTGGCGACGGATGAGTGTGTGAGTTCGATGGTGTTGATGAGTGAGGACCGAAAAGTCGTCGAGGGAAGGGTGCAATCGCAACTTTTTCTCGAGGTGGGGCAAATCATCAAACAGACGGTGTTTGATTGGCTGTAAAATTCCGACCCACTTCACTCATCGTGAACCTCAGTCGAGCTTCCTACATTGTAGCTTCATCTGAGCACCAATGCGCCGAGGGCACCCACGACCGCATGAGCTGACCCGGGCGACCAGTTTCTTTGAATCTGTCATTGAGATTCTGAGCGAGGTAGACGATCAAGGCGGTCTCAATGCAGCAGGCTTGCCGCCTCAATTGATCTACACTAGAACCCCGATTTTCATCCTCTCGGCCCGCTCAGATGCTGTCGATAGACCATCATTAATCACACGCTCATCGCGCCACTTTCACACACTTCATCCTTCATCATGTTTCTCCTCGCGAGAGCTCATGCCTCTCACGCTCGGCCTCTCATGGCCGGCGTTCTCCCCCGGCCATCGCCAGCTCTCAGCCCTCCACCAGCCGTCGCGACGAGCATAAGAACCATTCAACGGGCTGCAACCGGACATCGCAAAGCCCGTCCAGACCCCAACCTAAGAGACGAGAGAGCGCCCATAAGGATCCAAACAGTGACGATACCCAAACGCTCCAACGCTCTCTTCCGCATGCTGTGGAAGACGCTGGAAATCCCCGACGGCGACCCCGACCAGACATACAAAATTTACAGCGCCTACCTGTCGGCCCTCGCCCAGCGCAGGGAAGTCAAGAATTGGGAGTCCAACTTCCTTGGACGTGAGTCAGCTTTGCTACATGATCCGTTCCGACTGCCCTTCGATATCCAAAACACATTTGCTGACCTGCCTCCGCCACAGAGACAAGGGCGAACGGCACCGACCTCCACAACCTGGCCCTCTTGATCCTGGACTTTCCCAACATGCGCGAGGAGGAGAAGGACCTCTTCTTCCACGTCCTAAACACGGCTTCCGGCATCGGATACGACGCCTCGGCCCTGTCCCTCGGCCGGACCCTCATCCATAACCAGGTGCCCACGACCTCACCGTACTCCTACTGGGCGCCCCAATGGGGCCACATGCGCGACCACGTCGACTACCTCATCAAGCTCGGCCGCGACGCCAACGCCATCGTCCTCGAGGGCATGCTGGCCCTCAGCCGCAAGACCGAGGAGTACGACAAAATGGCCCTCGCCGCATTCAAGCGCGCGCGCGTGCTTGGCGACGAGATGACGTACTTCGACTGGGAGGCGGGCTGTCTCACGGGCATGGCCGAGGCGTACAAGCGTCTGAAAATGAAGCATAAGGCCCATGACACGTACCGGCTGCTGGCGGACAAGGGTTACGCGGATGGGGTGTATGAGCTGGCCATGTCGGCCCCGAAAAGCAGTGATTATCTCCCTCGCCTGACCAGGGCGGCCGTCTCTGGATACAGAGAGGCTTTTCAGCCTCTTATGGCCGAGCATCTGAGGCTGTCAGACGAGTACAGGAAGAAGGGCGACAAAAAAAACGCGGAAGAGCACCTGTTTTGGGCGGCGGAATATGGAAATATTCTCAAATATAGGAGGACTGTGAAATAGAACAAAATGTATTACTATCCGAACTGCGACGCCATTTTCTCTCTTATTCCTCTTCCCCTTCCTTTTCTATCCAGGTACATCCCACTCATGCGTACTGCGCCCGATCCTCCCAGCCGGGCTGCAGGTAGCTCCAGTCGCGGTTGAATTTGAAGTCCGTCTGGTACTGGCCGTACTGCACCAGCTTCAGCCCGTCCAGCTTCGCCCCGGCGTCCGTCTGCGCCCACAGGCTCACGGCGATGGTGTTGCGGCCGCGGTTGTTGATCACGCCGGGCGGCACGGGGAACCGCGTCTGCGGGCCGATGTGCGGCACGTACTTGCCGTACTGGTAGCCGTTGATCCAGAACATGACGCGCGCCGTCGTGCCCGCGGGCGCGGAGAACTCGACGCCCAGCGGCGCGTCGAGGTCCGAGTCGATGTTGAGCGTGAAGGTCGTGACGTAGAAGGCGATGCCCGCGCCGGACAGGCCGTCGAGCGGGGACTTGGTCGCCCACGAAGACGAGGGTGTGAAGCCCGGCAGGTGCCAGCCGAGGCGCTCCGGGTGGAGACCGCCCTCGTTCATGGGCCCTCGGACGGGGTCGATGTTGGCCTCACCGCCCGCCGCGCCGGCGAGCTTCCACTGCTTGAAGCCGGTGGCCGTGCGGGTGCTGCCCGGCTGGAGCTGGGCGCCGAGGATGCCGCGCGGGTTGTTGATGCCCTGGCCGGTGGAGGCCTGGTCGTGGCCGTGGTAGTCGACGACGACGGTGAGGACGTTGTCCGTCGCGCGGAGGGCGGCGCGCGGGAGGGCGAGGGTCTTGTTGGTGGTCGTGGCCGCGGCGGACCCGACGTCGCCGCCGATGGGCTGGCCGTTGAGCCAGGCGGACCAGCCGAACGCCAGGCCGCCCGAGGCGGTGATGTTGACGGACGTGGCGTTGGCGCCGTCGAAGTAGCCGCGGTAGATCTTGGCGCCGGAGTAGAAGCCGTAGTCGGAGCTGTAGAGGACGGGCAGGGTGACGGGGGCGTAGGGGCTGGGCGTGGTGGTCTTGTTGCAGACGACCCAGCGGGAGTCGTCGTAGTCGCGGGCCGCCTCGGGGAGGGCGTCGGCGGAGCGCCAGTTCTTGAGCTCCGGCAGGGCGACGGTGCGGTCCTCGGCGCCGGGGATGGCGGCGGTGAAGGAGCCGTAGGCGGTCTTGGTCGCCGGCAGGCGTATGCCGTTCCAGTCGATGGTCTCGATGGGCTTGTCCCCAACGTAGGCCTCGATGGTCGTGGCGCGGTCGTTGTCGCCGGAGACGTGGAGGACGCCGTGGGAGATGCTGGCGCTGCGGACGAGATAGGGGCCGAGGACGAAGAACTGCTCGTCGGGCTTGACGGTTGGGTTGCTCGTTGTGGCGGGAGCCCAGAAGCGCCACGCCGTCTTCTGCTCGAGGAGGTATACGAGGACGCCATTAGAGAACTTGACGGCCGTGGAACCGGCGACTTGTTTCCAAGTGAAGGCGGTAAGGTTTCCATTGCTGGTTTCCGTCACATCGGTATCGCCGTGCACCTCGAAAGTGAGATTGCCCTCGTTCTTGAAAGCAAACTGTCCAGTTTGGCCTTCTTGAAGGTAAAAGACGAGGACTTCGTTGTCAAAGACGCCGTAGGTGGCGACGTCGGCGGACGAGTACAGCAGAGTGTGCTTGCCAAAGGTGTAGTCCGAAACGAGAATCTTGCTCTGGCGACCGTTGAGAGTGACACCAGGAACTGTGACCGCGCCGGCCGTCGTGTTGAGGGTGACGTCGAACTGGATCGGGGTCATGGACTTGGTGCTGGCCTGCTGCACGACGGTGAAGCCGGTCTGGGTATCGGGGTTCCGGAGGACCCAGCTGAAGGCGGACGTCGATGAGAGCTGGTACCCGGTGCCATTGCCGACCATCTCGACCTTGAGGAGCTCGCTGGAGACTCTGGTAAAGAGACTGATGAGCTTAGTTTGGAAGAGCTTGCTCCACTGCTCTCGAGTCTCGCGAAGGGGGGCAGAGTAGTCGTAGGATGTGTAAACTTGGGGTGCAGCAGCTGTATGTCGTTAGATATGCCAAAAGCAGGGGAAGTATCCCACTCACAATGACCCCAGTTGGTTCCTCCGTACGTCATATACAGGCTGAGCAAAGTGACCCGCTGTCCAATATTGTTCTTGTAGTAAACGTCCGCAAAGCCCGGATCATGCTCCGAGGCGCACTGCAAACGTCGTCAGTCATCCCCCGTTTCTACTCTTTTCCTGTACGTACCTGGTCATAAAAAGTCTGGCTTCCCCAGTTCGAGAACCAACCTCCCTCGAACTCGGCCAGGTAGCTCGGCTGGGTGAAGGAGTAGTTCTGGAACCACTGGAAGTACGTCCTCACCACGTTGAACCCGACCGTCGGGTCGGTGCAGGACAGGCCGCCGGGGTAGCTGTCGAGGCCGTAGACGTTGATGGCGCCGCCGACGTTGTTGTAGTCCATCGACCACGAGCGCGAGCGCATGCCCTTCTCGTTGTGCGTGAGGGGGACGATGACCCCGGCGTCCTTGAAGGCCTTCTTGATCTGCTCCATGTATACCACCGCGGTGTTGTTCGCCTGGTAGACCGTCTCCTGGTATTCGTTCTCGACCTGGTTGAGGATCACGGGCTGTTTGGCGTTTTCCAAGTCAGTGTTGCCCCCTTACAACTTCCATATAGACGTTTCAAGCCACTTACACCGCCGTTGGTGATCTGGTTCGCGGCGATGATCTTGCCGACCTCGGTGATGAACGGCAGCCATCCCTTGTAGTAGTTCTCATCAGAGGTCCTGATCTTGCCGAAGCGGCCGTCGGAGCCCCAGAGCGCGAGGCCGCCGCCGTTGGTCTCAGCCTTTGTGGCAATCAGCAAGGAATTCTCGAGCATCAGGAGTTTGGCGTCTCTCTCACATTGCAGTATGGGCCCGCTCGGGCAATCACGTACAGGCCGGCCGCCTTGCAGTCGTCGAACAGACGCTGGATATTCTTCCCGGCTGTCTCGAAGTCGAAGACACCCTCGGAGGCGGAGTGGTAGGACCAGAAGAAGTAAATGCTTTTTATTTCGTCTGTCAGTGTTGCACCCATTTGACGGCTGAGTTGCAAGACGTTCTGCCTACCTCACGGTGTTGAAGCCATTGGCCTTGAATTTCTGCAAGACATCCTGCAGACACTTAGTAGGAAGAACGATGGTGAGCAACAGCCCTGTGACGTACGAGCCATAAATCTGGGTTCGGCAATCGTTGGTAATGAAACTCCGCAGAGCTTTTCTCATCGTCAGCAATTGCTACAAGTCCCTAATGGTGAGAGGGGCACCGACTAAATAAAGACCCTGGTGTTGTTCACCGACAGACTGTATTTGTCCCACGACACCACGTCCGTGAGGCCATTGTCAGTCGCAACGGCCCCAGAGACTAATAGCCAGATCAAGGCCGTCACCGCCGTGAAGAACCGCATGCTGGAATACCGTCAAAAAGTTCTCCCAGATCTTGGCAGGGTCGAAATCGCAATGGCTCGCGTCGGCATGAAGCAGCCAAGCGATCGCCCCCCGAGAATGGAACGCCAGATCGTAGTCTTTAAAAACAGAGCCTCACGTCAATCACAAACCTATAACAAGACCTCCTTGGTCGCGCGCTATCGCGGGAAATGAGGCCGAGCACGACAGTTTCGTCATTCCAGCAATCAGGTTCACTGTCGTCTACCTCTCTTGCGGGGTATCCCAGTCTCTCGCCATATTGCCATTACGCGCTCGAGGCAGGTTTTTGGCGGGCCGAAAGGTGCAATTCTTCCGTTAGCTCACGTGTGAATTGACCAAACTATGGCCAGCGGCAAAAGGGCATGGTTTGCAAGGTCGAGCTGCCAGTTTGGGAGAAGGCCAGATGGAGATCTCGGCGTTATGCCAGCCGAGGGTTTGGGCTGTTGTCCGTAGATTGCGGGGTTTGGGGAACTGTGATCACCTGGAGATCAGAGGGGCGGATAGGCGTGCCTGTCGGATGGCGAGTCGTCTACGTGCAGACAAGCTTTTTGGGGAACGCGCCGATGCATCTTGGCCGATTCTTCCGTCCAAGACAAAACGTGACGTGATTTTATTCAAGCAGAGGAATGTTGTGCTGCATCTTGACTGCACATGCTGCTGCAAACCAGCCTCAGCTTCTCAAGTGGATAGATAAGCTTAACTGCGCCCGGATTGCCGAAGCCGAAGGCAATGACTTGAGCGTCAACTTTGACGTCGAGTCCATCTTGGGTGTCAATGGACATTGCAACAAGTCATGCTTACTGTCGCGAAGGCCTCGAACCAGAATGTATTTGTTGAACCAAAATCAGGACCTGGGAACCAGCGAAACAAGCTCCAACATCGAAAAGTGGATTGTGGCACACTATCGGATACTAATTGACAGAGAGAGCGCGAGCGGAAATCTACACCCAACAATCTGCACTTCACAAGTCCATCCTCGCGGTTGAAGTGCCAGCAAGACCTTAGCTGTTGACTGCGCACCGGATGTCAGCCATATCGTCATCGCGTCAGAAGGGGAAAGAGGAATGGAAACGAGAAACCTCCGTGACCATGACGACATCGGGGCCGAGGCTATCACCAAGGACAACCTACCTGAAAGGTGACAAGACCGTCGAGTTCGAACACGAACGACTGCAAGCATACAATGGACGATGGGGTCCGGGGCTGATCCTACCCATCAGTCGGATCGAATCGCGCGACGTGCCTGTTGGAAGACGAAGACACCATCGAAGCTGCTCCAACGCGTCTCACGTAGCCCCGACCGTGATCTCGTACATGAGATGTTGCCAGCCAAGTCGATGCGGGCGTTAGAATCCTCAACATCCTCAATGACTTATCCGGAACCGAAGGTGGTGCGCGACGGTGAGAGTTGGCCTTTGCGTGACGTCGCCGGTGAACCTGAAGCTGGCGACAGAGAATGATAGCTGACGACATGGTCGCATCTCTGCAGGCGGAGTATTCATTCTGTGGTTGAAGGTGACCTCACCGGGACTCGTATAGACGATATCGCGACTCTCCTGTTTTCGAGGCTGTCCAGCCAAGACCCCACCAACACGAATTCAGCATCGAACCTGACTCAAACCGCCTGCTCGAGACGATCACTGGCAGCGCCGCGACGGCTTTTTGAGGTCGGTGAGGTCGGCGATGGACCATCAGCCCCATGTCCACAGTAGCCGGGCGACTGGTTCCTCCCAGGGCGCGCGCGCGCGCCCGTGTCAGGCCTGAATGTCGAAATCCGAACTCAGCTCTACGAGTTGGTCGACACTTGTCAACTGAACCCAGCCATCCACGCTTCCTAGAAACTTGATTGACTTTGTTGGTGAATCGATAGCGCCGAAGCTTCTATGAAACCCCTGAGCGAGGTTACATCTGGTACCAACCATCTTACCAGCGATTGCGGGCAATCTAGCAGAAACAGGGGCGAAATGCTCTCCCGGGGAGAGATGCTGGACGTGCCGCTGAACAAGACCAGGGTAGGCGAAATACAAAGGGAAGCGAAATGCAACAGAAAAGGGTGCATTCGAGCCCCTTTCGAGCGGTGATGGCACTTGGCAGGATGCCCCTCTCATCAAATTTTGCACAAAGCAGAGGCGCTCAGTCGGCCAATTTTCTTTCCCTCACCCCGGATTCTCAAGCAGACCCTTGAATGCCGTGCGGGAGTCGGAGAATAACCCTCGACCACCAACCACCCTGGCCAACGACTTTGCAGCAGTAGCACCAACGTAGACGACGGGTGAAGTCGGCGACTACCTGGCGACGTTGTGCAGGTGCGACGTCGGCCTCGAAGACGGATGGGATCCTGGCGATCTGGACGGCTCTCGAGTCGTTGACCGAGAACAGTGGCAAGCTGGCGCCCTGGGCGTTGTGCCCGGTGCACGCACCTGGTTTGCTTCCGTGGGCAGCAGATCTTGGTGCGATGACGCTCGTGGCCGACAACGAGCCGGTGGCGGCCAGCACCGTGCGATGGCTGAGCAGCGAACAGCACAGACGTTGGCAACGTCCTGGCGCTGGCGCACCAGCAACAGCGACTGCCACTTCTTCATGGCCACCGTGAGGATCTACCCGACGGCTCTGCAGGTTACCGCGTGCGATGGCGGGATGAGGTGTCCTTCAACTGTCTGTTGACGATCAGCTACACGCCTCGGACATCAGACCGATGGATTGCACGGGTGACATCGTGACGGACGTCCATCAGCAGCCGGGAGGGAATGTCCAGACATAACCGTAAAAGCCAACTCATCCTGTCTCAAGAGGCAGGACACACACACAGGTTCTTGGCAGGGTGTCCAGTGAGAACTTCATGGAGCAGAGTCGATCGGTATGTGGCGTCGTCTAGAAGCCATCGTGCTTCGAAACGTTGTCCCGGCTATTTTGATTCGGCCGAGGAAAATGAAGGAGAACCAAAGACGGATTAGCTGGTCGCGAGACCCAACATGGTAGAAAACAGAAGAACAAAACGAAACAGGTGACCGAAAGCGCGCCGGAAGGCAGGCGTCCCACGTGTTGGGCGCGCGTTGACTGCCATCGTGCCGTTTCAGTTATTCCTGAAAGGACTGAAGGAGAGCAGAGACAGTGACATTGAGTGGTGACAAGCAACGTGAGGTCGCAGCGCTCGTCCGTTCTGAGCGCAGGTGGCTATCGGGCTAACCAGGCTTTGGCCATTCGGGGCGCCGACTAAGACGAAACTCTGGTGTTGGATTGCCGAGCGTTTCTTCCAATTTTGGCAACACTCTTTTGGCCTGACAGAACCGGAGCAATTGCACGACAGGATGGAGAAGCGGGTTGAAGGAGCAGAATTTTCTTTTTGTTTCATGGCCGTCAAACATGTGTGCGGGCTGACACGTTGCGAGTGGACCTGGAGAAGAGAGCCGTTCGCAGCGACGGCGTGCCATCTGCACCGAGGGTTCAACATCATCGTTGGTGCTTTGGCCATGGCGGGGATGGCCTCTCGAACCCCCAGAATGATACCGAGTCAGTAAGGCAAACTCTGTCTGTCTCTGCCTCCCTCTCTCGCCTTGGGCGAAGACCCAACCGCCTTCTGGTTCGTGCAGCTGGGGGGATCCTCTCGACTGACAGCGGCATTTTCAGGCAAGATCCTAGAGAGGTCTGCGAATGGGAAGCGATGGGAACGGTCCAGGTCGGACTTAGGGAGAGGTATTGTACAGTAGCATCTGGCCAAGTTGCTCCTCTCGCGTTCTCATTGCTGCGAAGAAGTCAGAACTCTGGGTCAAACTCCGCAGGGTGTGGGATCAGAGATTTGGGTGTGACTCTTCATTCGTTTTTATCCCTCTTTTCGTCTGCGTCTGCATCTTCCCCTCACTTGACGTGCTGGGCGCGCGGTGAAAAGCTGGAATCGGGCAGAGAAAAAAGACTCAAAAAATGACAAAGCAACGAGCATCGTGCAGATGGCGCAGACGGGCGTCCCCACAAGAGGTGCATCAGCGTGAGCCCTAAACGCAGGAACAGGCGCATCTGTTGGACCCAGCAGTCTTCGTCCGATGCAGATGGGACGAATGAGAAGCGACGGATTTGCTCGATCCTTGGGCCGCGGAAGGGCGAGAAGTCGCCTCAGCATCGCATCGCAGCGCATCATGCCAGGGTGCCAGGTGCTCTTGGTTCAGGTACCAGCGGCGGGGGTACGTATCTTTTTGGTAACCTGTAAGACGTCGCGTCGGGTTTCCTTCTGGCGAACGGCGACAAGCGATGGCAGACAACGGCCAACATCCGTACGTACGGGCGAATGTACTTTGCAGCAGAGAGAGAGAGAGACACTGCATCTGCATTTGTGTCTCCTAGCGTCAGTCCAAAGCCGCACTTCCGACCCTCCATCGCGATAGAGACCCTTATTCGCAAGGTGCAATGGCCGGCGCCGAGAGATTCGGATCAGGAGATCAGAGACTCCTCCATTCCAGCCAGCCCAATTGGCGAGCATCCTGTCCCAGGCCGGGCTTGTCTCAGCTTTATTCCATCTCCAGAGCGATAGTCCCAGAGATGACGACCAGCGGGGGAGGCGTGGAGGGGGTGTCTCTGATTGGGAGGTGTCGGAGAAAAAGGAAGCAGGAATAGAACATGTGGAAATGTGCCGCAAGCCCCCCGAGGCATCAACCGACGCGGGCTGGCGCTGACTGGTGGTGGCCCTCTCGGCTGGCTGGAGGAGGACGGGAGGCGTGGGAGGAGGACAACCAGGCTATTGGGAGGCGATCTCATCGCTGAGCCAGCCAGATTCCAGAGGCGACCTGAGAAGCGACCGGTCGTGGAAG